TGTGAGTGTCAGGAACGGGAACGCAACCGCACTACTGTACAGATCAGGAAGCGATGGAAGAGTTGAATCTGTTCAACCTTCCATGCCGTGTACAGGGACACAAGCGTAAAAATGGCTACATTTCGAATGTGAACTGGCGATGGCATCGTGTGGCGACGAACACAACTGCAACTGTTGAAATTTCAGCATTTCGAACATTATGCTTCCCATGATAACTCACCGAATGGCTCACATGACGGAGTTGGACATTACCAGGCTAGGATTATCATTTGCTGTATTTATGGATAGTCCTTGAGTTTTCAGATGAAGTGCTTTATCTTTTACCTGTCGTTCCTTTAGAATGGCACAATGTCCATGGCTACTTTCTTGTCTTCATAACAGACTGGTATAATCAGCATGATTCTGCTTTATTTGAGAAGAAATAAAACTTTCCTTTCGGAAAGGAAGCCCAGAAACGTCAACCCCCATGGACTGTGCTTTATGACTCTCGTCCTAGCTGCATCGACATTAACCGTCGCAATAACTGCTGCATGTATGTTGTGCTGTGCAAACCGTACAAGATTTTACAGCTCACCCACGCCTTCCCAACAGGCTCCTATATCCCGTACCGTTAGCGTTACATTGAATATGAACTAGGCTAGCACAGTTATCCTTCGTTCTTTTGATGGCGGTGGGTAGCATGGAACTTGACGTGTTCTTGGGATCCTCGTGCAACACTTGCTGTTCCCGGATGCCATATTATTGGGTGCATCGAGGTTTCTTCTATGCTCACTGTTGTTTGGTAAGACAATTTTTTATAACTATTTCACCGAAGAATAAGGCAAGAGTATTCTGGGTTGGTTTGGACGCCTGGCTTCTCTTCACATAATAATAGTACAGTCATGTACTTCCACTAACCCTACAACTACAAGTGCACATGCATGACTCATGAGCTGCTGAAGACAGTGACGGTACTGATCATGTACATGACATTGTACATGTACATGCCGTGCACCAGGTGCACCGTTCATTCATGCTGACAAAAAAAGTACACTGCACTACAGACGGTGTAGGGTGCCCGCAGTGTAGCCTGGGTGCACAGGGTGCACTTGCCCCGTCTCACTCGTGGCTCGGATCTTTGTGCAAGTCATCTATTGGCAACATGCATGTCATGCATGCATAGGAACTAGGATCACGAGGGGAAAAGGTCTTCTACATGTAGCTTTTCATTCTGTGTGTGATTATTGTGAGGTTTTGTGTGAAATTTTAATTTTCGGCTATCACATTTCGTTAATTTCTTACTTTTTAGACGGGGTCTATGGACTAGAACACAATAACTTTTTTTAGAAAACTGCCATAGAGCAGTTTTTATTGCTATAATTTCTTTTGTTTTTTCTGTCACCAATCAATGGAATGCCCAAAATCAATATGTATGATGGCCTTCACATCATATCAATACCGTATTATGCGCATTGATGTGTAAGCCTTTTCTTGCAGAAAATGGCACTAGCATAATGCATGTTCTTCTGCGGGGAAACATGTGAGTAGTGGTGGACCATGGTGATACTTTTTCAAGTTATACGGAGGTTATATATGGAGGTCATTCTGTGCATGTTGCTGCAGCAGAATTTCATGACTCTGTCATAAAATTGTCTTGCCTTTCAGATATTTCAGATTTCCCTACCCTTGATCAGATTTATTTGAGAAATGTAACCAGGTGCGTGTCGCAGATGTTTTTGTTGATTCTGTGTTTATAATGGTTTATATTCATGGATGGGTTTTCGTGATAAGGTCATCCTGCATCATATTGCACTGAAATCGCAATCCTGTTGATGTCGATACAACTTTTGGAAGTAGTTCAATGACTTCAAACTGTTAGTCCACGATTTTCTAAAACAACACAGCAAAGGAGGAACAATAAACAATTTTTTTTAGTTACATGTATTAAAATGTAAACAAATACATTGCTGAGCCCGACACCTCGCTCCAGCAAGGCTATGGTTGGAGGTACTGAGAGATAAACAAGGCACTCCATAATAATAAAATCTTACACATCTTTTGGTGAGTATGAATGATATCCAGTCGAACCTCTTTAGGACGAACACCAATGGACCGATGGTATTTATTCTGTAAGTTTGTCTTAACCTATTTTATAACCAGTGAATACAATTATTTCTCCAATAGACATACGAATAGATTTCTTCTACAGCGAAAGATTCTAAGCCACACCAACTCATTGACTCGTCTCGTACGAAAATGTGCAGAACGCAAAATTCGTGCAAAAATTCGCACACACTTTCGCAAGGACTGTCGCGAAACTTCGTTCGAATTTTCGTTTTGCAGAGCCTCTCTACTGAACCTTTCTTTAGAAACATGACGGCAACTGAAACAGCAACAGAGAAAGTACGAAAGTACGATACATGTACAGCACATTCTTGCAGGTACTACAAACAGATTGCAGATCGTAATTCTTGCTTTGGCGGCACGAAACTTTATTTGGGGCAGTGCAATCTCGGCGGTACACACAAATAATAAATCAAACAGCCCAGACTCGAGTAAACAAATCCAATCATACATGTACAAGATCTTCACGAGACGAGACCGCACCCATTGGCTTGTTTCGTATGAAGCAAACAAGTTACTGAACCTCTCCACAATGGAGATTTTCCCTGATATGCGAATTTATTTTGCAAACTCGGTCAATGGGTCCTTGAACCTTTCCCTCCAGATTGGGAACTGCCAACGATAGTATGCCACTGACCAGTGCCTTGCTTGTAACGTACCAATGTACAATGAATATGAGTATTTCGACAACACATCTAACATAAGCCTTACCGTCAAGAAGGTGAACTCGCGTTCTTCGCACATTGTAGACAAGGGCAAAGAGATAAAAATGGATCTAAATCCGAATAAAATCAGCACACGTTTCCGTAAATGAAAGGGTGAGCATAAGCAAATGAATCGAAGGAAACCGGTCAACTCAGAGATCACCTAGTACCTGTCATCAAGTATTCCGTAAAAGGAGGCCTCGGCAGCGGAAAAGCTAAATTTAGAAAAGAGATCCTGTCAGGTTTTCCATTATTTATTGCATTCCGCCCAAAATCAGCACACTTTTCGTAAATTAAAGAGTCAACACAAGCAAATGAATCAAAGGGAACTGGTGAACTCACCTGTCATTGAGTAATATTCCGCGAAAGGACGTCTCAGCAGCGCCGAAACGAAATAAGCCAGGCCAGGAGACGAAATATCCGAAACAGCTCATACAAAAAGCAGTTCCAAAGAAGGAAGTTCCTCGCGCATGCACATCCGAACACGGACTGCACTGCAACACAATGTCTGCCGTGCACGTGCACCGCACGCGGCTACCAACCGTTGGTAGCTCTAATACCGAGCACCTTACGTAGAGACTTACGTAGCCTAATTGAAATACCGAGCACCTTACGTAGAAACTTACGTAGCATAGCGGTGTCGTTTTTCTTGCCATGAAAAAGAACACAATAATAGAAAAGCTGACAGGATCGCTTTTCTAAATGAGTATATCCTGTATGCTGCAAAAGACACAGGAAATGTGACTGGTGTCGGTACACTGAACGCCAATATCCCAGTCTTCTTCCCAGTATTCAGTGTGCCTCGCAGGACCTCCCCCAGAGGTATAGGAGAAAGCCAAAAACAGCTCACAACAAACAAAAGCTAAGGACGATGGAAAGAGAGTATGTCAAAAAGAAGACGAAAAGTATGAAGTTCAAATGGGTTTGAACACTCGTACCACCAACTATACCACTTTCAATAAATCGTGACGCCATTTTGTTTTAACACGCATACGGTCCATTATGGTGAAAAAGTTATTATTTATTAGTTGTCGCTCTCCTGGCGGCTTCCCTCAAGCTCAAGCGAGTCGAGATTCGTATCTTGCCTCTTGCCTTCACGAATTATTTTATTTTCCTCGTTGTGGAGTACGCCTGGACAAAGGAACTGGCAAGCGAATCGTTTTGGTCGCATTGAAATATGCAAGTGCACCAGAGGATTGGCGAAGCAATTTTGTGTTCGCACTTTCAGCAGAGCAGTAGCTGCTGCTGCGATAAAGTTTTTACTTTCGCCATTGGTTTCAGGCAGCAGAAGGATCTGGCTGAAAGCGATGGCGATACGTCCATGACCACCACGTCCTGGGTTGATATCCAAGAAAGACCGTCCAAGGTCCAGTTTTAGCCAAGAGCTGTCGTATCCAAGAAATCAAAAACGCCAACAGCAAGCTTTGGCCAAATAATATCTTCCAGGCAGTAATTTACGGGCCTAGCGCCTGCTGCGTCGTCTTCCTCCTCTGCATGGCCAGGTTTGGGGCGAAATGAACGCACGGGGCGTGAAGAAACATTCCAAAGGCAAACCATTCAAAATTAGAACCAATCGTTTCCAAAGAAGCGCCGCGTGGCTACGAGAAACCCCACATGAAATCCCCAAACGAAAACGGCCATTCGGTCGGGTATTCGATGGAGAATCGAATATACACTACCTCAATCCCCGCCGATGTCTGATATTCTCCGCCTATTCCCTCAAACTTGACCAATTCGGAAAGAAATCCATCGCCATTACGATCGTGCATCCTCCACATACATTCAGAAATGCTCACGCAGCACTTCTTTTCATCGCGTGTGCGCGATCGACGCTTCCATGACAACTCTGGGACAGGTAACCAATCAGACTCATTCAGAGTGCGATGTCCTAGATAGGACATCTCCCCGACTGGTCCTTTCCGTTGTTTGGCTCTCCATTCTGGTGTCTCCCTGTGCATTCTATTGTCTGCCTATCCATTCTGTTATCTCCCTGTTCATTCTGTTTTCTCACTGTTTATTTTATTGTCTCCCTGTCCATTCTATTGTTACCCTGTCTATTCTATTGTCTCCCTGTCCATTCTGCTGTCTCCCTGTTCATTCTGCTGTCTCACTGTTCATTCTGTTATCTCGCTGTTCATTCTCTTGTCTCCCTGTCCATTCTGTTGTATCCCTTTCCACTCTGGTGTCTTACAGAGAAGAGGCTAAGACGAGAGGTAGAAGTCGCACAGAAGCTGTCAATTTTTGGAGTGTGGTCTTCGCAGGCATCGTATTTCACGGTCGATATCACAGATCCCTATTCAACAAGGTATGTTTGATATGTCCCTCAGATGTACTGCTTAAAAAAAATCATGAGCCAAATTTTCAATTGTGGTTCACGCAACCTATTGTTGAACTGCCTCCAACCAAAAAACCCAACCAAAAAATGGTCTTGACCAACAACGTTCCTGTGGCATGATATTCCAGCTGCGAAGTCAGACACATCAGTGGTCGGGGCAACCTGAATTACCTATCGGTGAAGCTGGTTTCAATTTTCCGGTATCTCACTTTTTCTCATCCTCCTTCCCTGGGATGAACATGTATAGCATTGACTGCCTGGTCTAATTCAATATTGGCTTCTCTTTGGGGTTTACAGTTCCATTAGTAACATTTGGTCAACCAAACACACCATGGTGCAAGCCAAAGCAACCCATGTAGGGTACCTCTGTTGGGAAAATGGAGATATCAGGGTCTGCAGAGTTTGAAACGCCTAGCTAAAGGGTACTAATTCCACTGGAACATTTCTATGACGGAGCTCTCTAGAGGATCTAAGAACTGAAGATGTGAGTCTCAGGGGCAGTGCTATGACGTCATGTGGCCGCAACACATGGCTGCTGCATCCGTGCATGCAGCCAGGTCAACAGACCTTTATAAAGGCAATAGTGGCTACGCATTTTCAGCTGATTTGCCAATCTATTCATAGGCAGGATGCGCAATCCCCAGCAAAGATACATCCTATGTTAGAGTGTGGATGGGTACATCCTATGTTAGAGTGTGGATGGGTACATCCTATGTTAGACTGTGGATGGATACATCCTATGTTAGAGTGTGGATAGGTACATCCTATGTTAGAGTGTGGATGGGTACATCCTATGTTAGAGTGTTGATGGGTACATCCTATGTTAGAGTGTGGATGGGTACATCCTATGTTAGAGTGTGGATGGGTACATCCTATGTTAGAGTGTGGATGGGTACATCCTATGTTAGAGTGTGGATGGGTACATCCTATGTTAGAGTGTGGATGGGTACATCCTATGTTAGACTGTGGATGGAGCCCTGCCTGACTGTTATGTGTTTTGTCTTGGCTGAAGAATTGGCCTCTTGGCCCAATAAAGAGTGGGCGCTGCGTATAATGAAGAAGAAGCATCCATTGAAGATGAACCTGGTCTATGGGTAGCAAAGTCGGTAGCAAAGATAACAAGTCCCTGCTCTTCGAACAATGACCACAGCCACTCGATTACATGCTCACACATGCCTCTTTTCAAAACGAGGGTTCCAGTTCTACATTTGGATAATGTATGGTTGTTGGAAAGCTGTTGGCCTACTAGCCTGCTGCAGGTATACTTTAACACCATGAGGAATTCAAGTCTCTCATTTTGAAACTGCAGCAAGTGACCCAGCACTTTCGATGGAAACTGTCAAATGTGATGGAAAACTGTCCAATGGGATGGCAACCTGTCCAATGGGATGGCAACCTGTCAGTCACTTTGGGCCAAAACCTGTCACTTTGAGCCACAACCTGTCCAATGGGGTGGCAACCTGTCACTTTGAAAGCCAAAACCTGTGCACTTTGAGGTGCAACCTGTCACTTTGAGCCAAAACTGAGTCATTATTAGCCCAAACTGGTCACTTTTGAGCCACAACCTGTGACTTTGAGCCACTCCCTGTGACTTTGAGCCAAAACCTGTCATGGCTTTGTGCCACAACCTGGTACTTCGAACAAAATTGGAAGTAAAATCTGTCCATTGAACATAAATCCGTCATCTTGAACCCAAACCCTTCACTATGAACTCAATTCAAGTATGTGACCTGAAATCCCACTAGAAATGTTCGCGAATGATCAATGTGTGTGTTTTACAAGCCTTCTCCTACGAGCATTATCTCTATCTTCTTTCATGTACCATTAATTTTGTTTAGCATCTTCCATCTCCCAGCTTTTACTAATTTTTTTCATTTCCAATGTTAACTTGTTTGCTGTCTATGTGTTGCTTGCTCTGCGTTGTTCACTAACATAATGTACTAGACACGGCTGGCTCTCTGCAAACTGATCATTTTTGCACGGCCAGTTCCAAGCTCTGTGTTGGCTACAAGGTGTGCCGATGAGCATGTCAGCTGAGTTGTACATGAACAACGTGTGGGTTGTGTAAAGTGTGCAGATCACCAGATCACGGCTACATCTCTACAGTTACAGTGTTATTATTGACATCCTCACTCTCTTTCATTGGTGCCTGTCAATCACTCACCAATATACTTTCTCACTGCAATAACCAACGGTCAACGTTAGAGCTGGTGTGACAGGTCGTTGGACAGCCTTGAAACACCTTGTTGAACCTGTGAAGTAAAACAAGGATCCTGCCACGTTCTCATCACCTACACAGAGCTGTGATCGGCCGTTCTTTGAGCAACCTTCCCAAAGGATTAACAGGTTCGTCACGATTGTTGTATGCAATTGTCAATCTCAGTGAAAGTTGACATGCATTGAACAAGTATGACATTGCCTTAGCAATCTTGTCTTGATAATCAGTGGCGTTAATCTCTGCGGTTGGGACAATGAGCACTTCTAGCTGCAGGTACCAAATAGCTAGAGAATTGTAAAGTTTTATCATGGCTACAGACTGTTGTAATGTCCGATTCTTTGCTAATTTACTCTTCATCTGTGTGTGCGTGTGTGTGTGTGTGTATGTATGTATGTATGTGTGTATGTATGTGTGTGTGCGTGTGTGTGTGTGTGTGTGTGCGTGTGTGTGTTTATTCTGTATGCTCTGTAGCCTGGCCAGAGTTCCACTACAAAAAGCAGCAAAACAGCTCCCACATTGACTAGCAGTGCTGGAACCGAACAGGTTGTAGCAATACTGGAGTGTTTCCATCAACAGCACGGCACTATCAACTATTTGGCATTTGTTTTCAGGGTAAGGGTCATCTGCTATCCAACATTGAAGTAACTGTTTGATATCAACAACAACGTTCACTGGAACAGGAATTGTCATCTACAGATACCACCACGACTTGAATTTTCATCTACCGATACTACCACTGCCTGGAATTGTCAGCTACCACTGCTGCAATTGACCGTATCTGTTATCTACCACTGAAACAATTAACTGCAGCTGTCATCTACCACTGGTACAATTAACTTCAGCTGTCATCTACCACTGCTGGAATTAACTGCAGCTGTTATCTACCACTGATACAATTAACTGCAGCTGTCATCTACCACTGACACAATTAACTGCAGCTGTCATCTACCACTGCTGGAATTAACTGCAGCTGTCATCTACCACTGATACAATTAACTGCAGCTGTCATCTACCACTGCTACAATTAACTGCAGCCATCATCTACCACTGCTGGAATTAACTGCAGCTGTCATCTACCACTGACACACTTAACTCCAGCTGTCATCTACCACTGCTGGAATTAACTGCAGCTGTCATCTACCATTGACACAATTAACTGCAGCTGTCATCTACCACTGATACAATTAACTGCAGCTGTCATCAACCACTAATAGTTGCAGCTGTCATCTGCCACTGATACAATTAACTGCAGCTGTCATTTACCACTGACACCATTAACTGCAGCTGTCATCAACCACTGCAGGAATTAACTGCAGCTGTCATCTACCACTGATACAATTAACTGCAGCTGTCATCTACCACTGCTACAATTAACTGCAGCTGTCATCAACCACTGCAGGAATTAACTGCAGCTGTCATCTACCACTGATACAATTAACTGCAGCTGTCATCTACCACTGATACAATTAACTGCAGCTGTCATCTACCACTGCAGGAATTAACTGCAGCTGTCATCTACCAACTGATACAATTAACTGCAGCTGTCATCTACCACTGCAGGAATTAACTGCAGCTGTCATCTACCAACTGACACAATTAACTGCAGCTGTCATCTACCACTGATACAATTAATTGCAGCCGTCATCTGCCACTGCTGGATTTAACTGCAGCTGTCATCTACCACTGACGCATAATACTGCAGCTGTCATCTACCACTGACACAATTAGCTGCAGCTGTCATCTACCACTGATACAATTAACTGCAGCTGTCATCTACAACTTCTACAGTTGACTGGAATTGTAACCACTATTACCATTGACTGGCACTGGTATTTACTACTGCTATCACTGGAAATTCTGCGACTCATCAGGAAAGCAATCAAAGTTTACATTGTGTGAGGGTTGCTGGCTTGCCTTGTTGTCTCTTGGCATTTGCACCTGTGTTCTCTACATCAAAGGAAACACGTGGACTCAAGGGGTTTCTGTCCAAAAGAAAGGTCAGTTCTCCATGGTTTTACACAGCAGTCTACTGTTGTCTCAATAGATTTTTCCCAGAGTGGAGTCCTTGTCTAACGAGTAATTGGATTCCAGGTTTACATGCAGGCACTATACGTACACCATTTTTAGGGGTTTCCCCTACATAGAGTAAATCAAGTTGTGGAGCGGTTCACTCTACAAAATCATGGAGGATGGATGCTGCCAAGTCCACACGGCATAATTCCCAAACCAAGTTGGACATTGTTTTGAGCTATGTGCATTCTTTGTAAGCAAGCTCTGCCAGTTGCAGTACTGAGCAGTGTGTGGACGGAGGAGTAATTCTACTGTAAAGATATTTCTACAGAGATTCCTGTCCTGAAGATTTGCTGTGCTTGCTCGTTGCCCCATCTGTCTTTATTCAGCCAGAATGTTTTGCCGTTGTTTGTCTTTGGTTCATTTTTGTCTTGTTATTGTCACAGGAAACTGTCGACACTCACTTCAGAGAGTCACTGGTCAGCAGCTGTCCACAAAAGAGACTTCCTCAGCGGAGCAATAATTATTATACTCTGGCATTCCACTTTGTCAATAGGTCTGAAATCTGAAGTTGACTTGTAGTCGTAACACAATCCAGCATATCCAGCCAGCAACACAAAGCCGGAACCGGATATCCAGGGTCATATACACCCTGTCCTGTGCTGCTAACACTCTACACCGTAATACATTACTCATGGTGTTCATCTGGTTGTCATAGTAACCTGGATTTCAACAACATTTCTACAGGATTTACTAGAGGATTTGTTAAGTAGCCAGGTGAGTGTTTCAGGTTTCTGTCTGAAAATGAGAGTTGCCATGCAAAGGGATAGGTTGCTTTCGAAAGTGACAGCTTGCTAACTGAAATGACAGGTTGCTGTCCACAATGACAGGTTACTGTCCACCGGCAATAGCAGACCTTCGTCAAAGTTGGCTGGTAGATGTCCCAATTAGCAGGCCACTGTCTAAAGTGACAGGTTCTATATTACAGGATGTAGAAATGTTTTTCTATCAACACTCTTAGAGATAGGGCACACCAGCCCTGTCACTACAAACAAGACCGTACTGGAACAGAATCCATCTCTATCCCTCTGTATCCCTCTAAATCTCTCTGTATCCCTCTGTATCCCTCCCACACCCTGTCTACTTTGCAATTCTACTGCAAGCCACACTGATCTCACCTCAAGGCGTTCTCTCATCTTTCCACTAGTACTCGCCATGACGCTCCATCCTTATCATACATATGTACATGTAATCCCAAGTCTTCACATCCACACCCTAGTTAGCTCACCGCCAGCAACCATAATCTAGATAACACCCAACACACATTTTAACTTGAATTCATTCAGTGGAATATAGCACTAGAGGAGGTGGTTGCTGCCCCACTTTGGAGCTCCCCCCGCAAGCAGAGGACACGGCGGGGATTCCATTGAACCTAATACCTACCTACATGTACATGTATCTACTGGTGTGGGGGTTGAGTTCCCTTTTGGGAACGGACACGATAATTTACTTACTTTTTACTGGTGTGGGCATTGAAATCCGGTGAGACATCAAGCGACCACGGGGTGCTGGCCATGCAGCTGTCAGTACTGCTGTTCCAGTTCTGCAGTGTTACAGTGCATGTACACGCTAAGCTAGTAAGGTCACCAGCCCTGGCTATTCCACCGGGTTTCTATATGTATAGCAGTCACTACTACCACTACCATCAAACCTAATTCCTACCAATATGTCATATACTTCCTCCACGTCATCGAAATTGTCGCAGTTTGACTTTTGATGTAAAACGCGGTATTTACTCACCAGCACTCGTACCAGAGGCAAGGAATCGGACATAGGCGATAGTCATCAGTATAGGGTGACGGCAAAGTTCTATTTTCTGTTATTGGAAGCTTGAATTTTTGAACTGGACGCAATTTCTTCGCTGATGTCGCTGCGCTGGTAATTTCGACTCGCTGAGATCAGTCAGGCGTTGCAGCCTGCACATTTCTCATGCTTATCGCCATTCACTCAAGCCCCATCACTGTTTTACCTTAGCTGGGGTGAGAATGACTTCGTGGAACAAGTGGCAGCGCTTGGAGAAACATCGAGGGGTCGGCAAACTAAATGCCTGCAACAGAGATAAAATTTGTCGCTCTGGCTGAGACACTCAGTACTAGTACATGATTGTACCTGTAAGAGCCGTGTAGACTCTACACGTAGTGCTAGTGATGCACGCGCAGGTGCCGTACCATGGTATACCAGTGATGCTGAAAAAGAGGGCGCGCTGGACGTGATACTACACTTACCTGCATGAGCTGTGGGCATGCCACGGCTAAAAAAAGTTCATTTCAAGATCGAGGTGATTCCGAGGAGATTCCACCGACAGTAATCAACCGACCTCGCAACGATCGTGTATTCTTACTAGGCTTCGTTGGTGGTGAAGTAGAAATCATCCAGAGCTAGCAGACAACAAGCATAGCAGCTCTTGTCCTGTGGAGAAAGTCAAAGCGTTTGAGATGAGGCGCGACCAACTTTCAACCTTCCTTGAAATATTTCGGAACGATATTTTTGCGTCCATTGACATCAGCGACGACGAGGACTTCATCTCTGCATGAAAACTTTCAGTCCAATTGTCCTGGAACGTTACTCTAGTCTTCAGACTATCATACTGTGTAATAAGTTTTGAATGGCTTAGTTTATGGAGTTGTCAGTAACAAAAGACAAGTCACTAGTCAAACGCCGACAATTTCGATGACGCGGAGGAAGTACGTATCCTAATGCTATTTAAACATTGATTGTTCCAGCCAGGAACATTCATTTGCTCTACTAGCATTCGACTACGTTCAAAACAATATCCTATTCATCCAGTTTGTCTGGAAATTTGAAATTGGTTCTCCTGCTCAACTTTGTATGTGACCTCTCTGTTCTTGTTGATGTTTTCCCAGATCTCAATCTCCACCACTGTATTGGATTGATATTACAGTGGTGACTATCACAGACATCCGCCTAATAACAGACCCACTCGGGTATCAAGTCATCATATCAACCTATCAACCATCAAAGATTTATCGCAGTTCATCTCAACTACAGCACGTTCAACAAAGTACCTACATCAGTACGCTCTCCGTTCCCATCAAGTACACCGCCTCTGCTTCAAAGTTGTCTACTTGTGTTTGGTCTTGACCTGGCTAAGTCAACACCACAACTACAAGTACAACTTGAGAGTTTTCTGCAGAGACTAGGGGAAACTTGGCAGAACAACACTATTGTCTTTTGCTCAAGACACCAAGGCTAGCTGTGTGGTAGCTTCACCCTTTACATAGCCAAGGTTAGTTCATCCCGCTATATGGACAAGTAACTGCTTGCAAGAGTGAAGTAGCAGTACTGCCTATGTTTACATACCCCTGACTGACACACTGCACTACTGCATTATTGTGCAATAAGGTTGTGGGTGATGATAGGAGTCGTACGTCTTGTAGAAAACGTCATGAACTTGGATTTTGGCTTTCTTGTTGTTGTGTACCCATCCTGTTGGTCTCTCTGTAGCAGAAATTAGTGAAAAATGTCTACTGACTGTAACTATCTGCCTGTGTATTATACTAAGTCTGTGAGCATTCACAAGGAAAAGAGGGGGTTGAAAATGGGAAAATAATAATAAGAAAATGTTTATCACAAGGATTTGAGCAAGGGACCCTCGCTCATGGCGAGTGATGCTCTACCACTGATCTATGGTAAAGTCTGTGAACAATTCACTGGTTTCACACTGCTGTTATAATCTCTGATATTCTACTTTGTGTATTCTTGCCTAGGACACTCAACACAGCCAGAACAAGATCTGGTGACGTCATCAAAACATTCTCTCTGCTACTCCACTCACAGATCAATACTGTGGTACAGGTGACTCGCTGAACGTGCAAATTCCTCAGCTGACCGTGGCTATCGACACTTGATATATCATTGCTGCTGCAACATCTGTTCTACCCTCACATCAGCTGCATTCTCACTACAACCCTATACTGTTATTGATTCTGAGCTGTTGACCTGATCTCTGCCTATACAACTTGACTCCGTGAAAACAGAAAACATCACTCAGGGAGTGTATCCTCGGCCATAGACACGGTGAGTTTTTTCTCTATTCCCATTCCTGACATTTAGCACAGTGATGAAGTACATAGTGCTGTGAAATTGCTAGGAAATACATTCCATGAACCAGCCATGCAGGATAACGAATAACAACTCTACATCCGGCCACACCGCATATACTTTGTGCAAGACAACAACACATAGTGAAAATGAGATTATATAGATAGATACATGCATGCTTTGCTGCCTGTTTTGGTGGTATCATTAATTTCAGGGCTCACCACGACCATACAAAATTCAAAAAGCGTCGACCACCATTTTGAATGCCGCCAAAGCCAGAGTTTGTGCAGTCATAGCGGCTACGCACCCGAGTTCATGCTCATCGATGTACAGCGATGTACAGTCTAGTCGTAAAATACCGGTATTTTACGACTTCCTGGTCTACTCTGTACAGCGAAGTGCCAGTGCCGAAGCGAATCTTGTTGTTTGATGTCGAGAAAGACACGCGGAGAAGACGTCCTTTCTCCAAGCAATCTTGGTCATTTTTCTCAATCCGCTGGTGGGTGTCGACCAAGATATGTCCGTGGGTACTGGTGAACTTGAGTCCTGGCATCTACAAGAATTTTCCGCGCCTAGCTAACCAATGTTGTCAGTAGAACTCAGCGTTTCCTGATCGCGACTCGGCACACTCTTTTCTGTTTGGTCTCGCAGTTTTCACGCTGCGAGTGGGGAGTTTCCTTGTCACAAATGAATCCCTTAGTCATGACCATGATGAGAGGTGACTGTAGTATGATCCCTGACTGGCATGAGTCCTCAGCTCGAGTCAACACGAAGGTAAACTCTTCACTTGGAACGCTTGCTGTCTCCTCCGCCCTTTCTTGTTGCACTTGCAGATATGCGCACTGCTGCCAGTTTTTGTTGGTGCGCGCGGCGACGCACGGCCGACCTTGATGTCTTCAAAAAAGTAGAACAGCGGTTCTCCTTGGCCGATTCTCATCATCGATAGCTCATTTTCAAGGTCTTTGAATTCTCTATCGGTTTACCGTCCCCGATTTCTAATTTTCTCTTCATTCACTTGTTTGCACGCCTTCGCGTTTGAGTGATTTCAACATCCGATCTCAGCCAAACGAAGGCCAAATCGAAAAATTCGAGACGGTAACCCCCCAAAGACACACCTTCTGAACACGAATCCACAATGGCCTAATGTCTAAAACCAACGAATACAGCCAAGCTCCACTCAGAAAACACCCCACAATTGCAAGAAACAGCCCGTTTTGCTGTGCGCTGATTGGTCAAATCCAAATGACCGTTATTGACGCTTTGTATGGTCGTGGTGAGCCCTGAATTTGACCTCGCAGTTGCAGAGGTTTCTTGAAATTTGTACATATGGGCCGCAACCAGCTAAAACATGTCTCAGAGTGAAAAATTTCAAATTTTGCTTCTCAAGAAAAGTGTTTGGGACCGCACTTGACGTCTTGAAGGTGATGCAGGGCACCAAAGTAGTCTAAACGTTCCCCAAACACCGCTTTCAAAATTATACCTTTAAATAGAAAATCACAGTTTTCGCACAGATGAACAAGTGGGTTTTGTGGAGGAGCAAAATACAAAGGAACTAAAAATGATGACAGGGACTTGAGCATGTCGTTGACATCAGTTCCAAGTCACGGACCAAGGTCTTCCTGGAAAACACCACGAATCAGGCACGATGCTGTGGGCGGCGTTGAACTTGCACACTCTTTCGATTCGGGCAGTGACACTTTTGATCGTCTCTTTCACTTCGGAAAAAATGCGTCACAACTCATGAGAGCTGAGGTGCACGTAACATCGTAAGCTAGTTCGTCGTCTAATGTACTCGTCAAGAAGGCTTCTTCGCTACTGGGATGACAGGGGGCTATTCAACTTCGCTGTCGACATCAGATCCAGAAAATTGTCATCGTGGTTCTGTAGACCTGCTACGGCCTTGCTGACACCTGAGCAAACCCAGGGCACAGCGGTCGTCTGACCCTGTGTGCTGCTTTACTGCCACTAATAGACACGGAATTGTCAGTCTTTGATCGCCAGCTACTTCAACTAGACCGCCAAATAAAAGTGTTTGAACAAAATTGAGAAGATTATCGCAACCGGTTCATGAATGAAGCGCAGTGTGAACTCACTCGACAAAAACAGTTTTTTACATTCCGTCAATTCTCATATTTACGACAACCCAAAAACATAATTTTAGCTGATCGCGGCCCATATACATGGTTTTCATCTTAAAATTACTAGCAGTCATTCTCGAAACACTCAGACCTCCATGCTCTCCGCTTCCCCTCTCCACACAAGACACACCCAATCACTATCATCCCCCTCTCCCACCACCTCTCCCACCACCCAGCCCCTCCCACCACCCGGCCCCTCTCACCACCACCCCCACTACCCTTCTCCAAACAAACAAAATTCGGACGACCGAGCTCTCCACTTTCCCTCTCCACATACAAAACGGCTGATCACCATGTCCCCTCTCCACTCCTCCCTCCCCAACAACCCTTTCCACACAGTACGAATCTGAAAGGAACCCTTCCACCACCCGTTCCTAAGCAAAAAAGTTGGTCCACTATGACCCCCCCCCCACCCATCTCCACACAAGACGAGTCCCATCACTATGCCCCCCCCCTCCCACCACCCTTTGTTCACACAAGACAAGTCGTATCACTACCTCTCTTCTCCCCCTCCTCCCCTCCTCCCACCCTTCTTCATAAAGGACAAGTTGTATCACTACCCCCCCCCCCCACCCCCACTCCTACCCCCACTCCTCCCCCACCCTCTTCACACATGACAAGTCTGATCAGTTTGTTCCCTATTCCACCCCCCCCCCCGTTCTTCATACAACTCAAGTCTGATCACCCCCCCCCCCACCCTCCCCCCCCCCCACCTTCCCCTCACACCACCCCTTTTCACATAAGACAAGTCTGATCACTGTCTCCCCCCCCCCCTCCACCACCCGGCCCCTCCCACCAACCCTCCCACCACCCTTCTCCAAACGAAAAAATATCGGACCACCGAGCTCACACAAGACAAGTCTCCCCCCCCCTACCCCACCCTACCCATTTCACACATGACAAGCCTGATCACAACCCTCCCCCTTCCCCTTTCCACACAAGACACGCCCAATCTTTATCTCCCACCCCCTCCACCACCCGGCCCCTCCCACCCGGCCCCTCCCACCACCCTTCTCCAAACGAAAAAATATCGGACCACCGAGCTCACACAAGACAAGTCTTATCAAGACCTCCCCCCCCCCCCTCCCCTCACCCTTCTTCATAAAGGACAAGTCATATCACTACCCCCCCCCTCACCCCTCCCCTTTTAATCATATCACTACCCCACCCACCCCCCCCCCCCCACCCCTCACCCCTCCCTCTTTAATCATATCACTACCCCCCCCTCCCCCCCCCACTCCTCCCCCCCCACCCTCTTCACACAAGACAAGTCTGATCCAAGCCTTTCTCACCGAAGACAAGTCTGATCCCTATCCCCCCCCCCCTTCCCACCCCTCTTCATAAAAGACAAAATTAATCTGATCACTACCCCCACCCCCATCCTAAATAGATAGACTCTCATGTTCAATATGCAATGATATCATCATTCTAAATCTGCTTTATTTTCTCTTTGCTTTCTAATTTGTGTACAGTTTGCGAGGTGAAACTACCAACGTCATTGCCTTATCATCGCCACTATCATCTCCACTATCATCAACATTATCGCAGGGAAGCACACTGACCAGCAATTGTCCGGGTAGTCAATCAGCTTCACCTCAGGACACCAATTGCGGTCCAAGTCACCAACAGTCTTTGTGTTGATCAAACGTAGCCTTCACCATGAAGACCATCGAAGCACTGGCATTCAAGGACCTCGAGAGCATGCTATGTGAGGACCTTCAACATTCTGTCCACGACATCATGGATCGGCTTGTAAGCAACAGCTTTATCCCAAGCTACAGTCGTGAGTTTGCAAAAATCACGCATCAAAAATCGACTGGCCATGAACAGATCAATTTGCTAATTGGCTACCTTCTGACTGTGCCAGGTCAGAAAGGAAAGAAGGTGTTTGTAATGTTTTGCAATATTCTACGTCAGATCAACTTTGGGCAGCTTGCCAAGAAGCTGGAGAGCAGGGCAGAAATGTACGATCAAAGAAATTTGTCCAGCCAATCCAATGGTGACATGGAGTTCCACGGATGGGAGTGTAAACGCTCTGCTCCATTCCTAACAGAAACCTTCCCATCGCCATCTACTGGATTACAACAAGCAGCCACCAATGCAGCCACTGCCAGTGTACAGAAGAGCCAAACAACAACTCAACCACAACAACAACAACAACCGCAGGCTGATGTTGAACCATTGCTAGCACACTACCGTAAGCGTCTTCTTCAACTTTGTCGAATCGAAAGCAAGCGGACTGCTCTACCAGGAATTGGTACCCGGCGTGAAGGACAGACAGATGTTCGCAGTTTCTACACTAGCGTGCAGGCCTTGACACTGGAACAAGCTGAACAACAACTGAACGAAAAGGGTGGGAAAACAGAAAGATGCAGCATGACAACGAGATCAATACCAATACGTCGAGCATCACAACTTCTGCAACGTAAGCTAGGTGAACATGTGCCGTCACGTTATGATAACGACCGCAGATCACTTGTTGAAAGCAGCATGCTTGTTTCTCCAGCTGGCAGTGGGAAAAGCACAGTGTGTAAGATGCTTTTATCCGACCACTACCATAACAACACTGACAGCAGCAGCAACAGCAACAGCAGCAGCAAAAGCAGCAGCAGCAACAGCAGCAGCAACAGCAGCAGCAGCAACAACAGCAGCAGCAGCAGCAACAGCAGCAGCAACAACAGCAACAGCAGCAATAGCAGCAGCAGTGCTGTACCTTCTTGCAGTGCTGTTGACAGCGGTACATGCACCAGTGCTACTGATCCTGATTCCACACGCCAAGCTAACACTACAATCAGCAAGGATGTAACTGCTGCCAACAGTGGTAACGCCTCAACCATGACAGACAGTCTTAGCACCTCTTCCAACACAACCAGCAGCAGCACCGTCACTATCACCAGCAGCAGCACCAGCAGCAGCACCAGCAGCACCAGCAGCGGCAGCACCAGCAGCAGTACATGTGGTAGCAGCAACGAAAACGGTGCAAAGGGCAAAAATGAGGATGGAAAAAGTAGTGGAAGCAGAGATGGGGCCAACAGTGAAAAAAGCCGTGAGAGCAGCACTGAGAGCAGCGGTGGGAGAAGTCGGAGACAACATGCCGAAGAGGAGAGGGAGTTTAGAAGAGATGCAGTGCTCTCCAATTTCAACTATGTAATACATCTACCTTGCCGTGATGTGGATAGAGTCTGCAGTTACAATTGGTCTACTCTACTTGGCCTGGATGAGCAATGTCTGCATCTAGACACACACCAGCAAGACCAAATGATCGAGTACCTAGAGGATCAATCACAACAAGTCCTGTTCATTGTCGATGGATTGGACGAAATTGGCAAAGATGTGCTCGAGGAACGATCAGCTCTCTCATCTCTCGTCCATCGTGAACGGTTTGCTGACTCCCGAATCTTGTTGACAAGCCGTCCTTGTCAGCTAGCATCCACGCTTGCTAAAGAATGTGAAGAACACTATTGGCTGGCTGGGTTCAATGATCATCAACTCGAACGCTACTGCCTTCGTAATCTTGGTGAAGATCTTGGCCAATCTTGTTGGGACGAGCTATGCGAGGTTAGCTTGGGGCACGTCAAGGAAGCACTGAAGTCCTCCCCATTGCTATGTGCAATGCTCTGTGAGCTCTACCGAAGTCGTCAGAATGTACCGAGGTGTGCAACCATGATGTACTCCGGCTTCGTCAAGCAAGCTGCAAACCTTCGTGGCTGGCAGTTGCAAGATAATGGAGTCAGCCTTGAGAGCCCCACACTGAGTAACAGCTTGGCTTGTGCCACAACAACAGAGGAGGACCAAGAGGAACACTCTGCTCCACTGTGGACAACTCATAGCAGTCAACCTCATCACTGTGTACCAGCATCAACTGATACAGCCCACACCGCAGCTGTCAGTGGAGATACTGTACTAATACAACGTAGCAGTGATACGGAGCAATCACATCAATGTATGAGCAAACGTGCACAGAACGAGCTTGGTCGTGTAGCTCTCATGTCCTTGAATAGAAAGCAAGTACTGATTCCTACAAGCGCCTTGTCCAGTGAGTGCATTAATGCAGCTTGCTCTATTGGTCTCCTTGTTGAGAGTAACACAGGTATTGGCAATGTACTACGTTCACAGGCAAAACCATGTGTCTACTTCGTACACTACTCACTACAGGAGTACTTTGCAGCACAGTACTTGTGTGCAGATCCTGAGCATGCTCAAGCGGTGAGAGAATGTGCACGAGATGGTTATGGTGTTGGTGAGGAGGCAGCACCATTCTGGGCATTTGTTTGTGGTTCTGCAACTAGCAAGCAAATAGCGGAGATCATCAGTATACTAAAATCAGCAATGTTAGAACATGGCCGGACTGTTGCCAACGCTACTCGTTCTCTCCTGTCCTACTTCATGGAGCATGTCAACACCAGACCAACCCTCACAGAACAAGCAATGTTTGGTTCTGGCGCGCCTGAGGAGACCAGTTACCTCTCCAAGGCAGTGGACAGCATTGCTGCTGATGGACTAAGACTGGATCACATCCAACTTGTAATGAGTGATATACTGGCACAACAGTGTGTACATGATCATGCAACTACTATCAAGCTACTGAATCTCACAAGTTGCAACCTCACAGCAGAGACGTGCAACATACTCACACTGTCCAAGGCTGAAGAGCTACAACTGGGGGTGAATCCATGCAGTGCCAGTCTGGTGGAAATGGCAGCAAGATCTCTATCTTGTCCAGGCAGCAAAGTGAGAAACCTTTGGCTTCGCGTGTGTAATCTATCTTCATGTAGCTATCCAGGTCTGCTGGCATGTATGCAGGCTAAGAATCTCCAAAAATTATGGATATCTTCCAATAAGGGACTTGGAAATGGCTTTCTGGAGTATCTACAACGGACACTCTACAGTGAGTGTCAGCTTACATACCTTGATCTGGAACATGTTGGTCTGACAGCTGGTTGTGGAAGTCAATTGGCTGCACTCATCACCAAACTGCCACAGCTTCAGCGACTGGATATGAGCTGCAATAACCTCAGCAACTCAGACATTGAACAAGTTCTGGGTGCTTTGAATACCAATGTCGTTGAGGTAGTCTGGGTCAAGGGCAATGACCTGGATGATGGTATCGTTCCAGCTATCTGTGAGTTCTATCAGAGAAAGAACGGAAAGCAGCAGCAGCAGCAGCATTCATCAACTAGCACCTCTCAAGCAGTTCAGAATGGCCACACATGTCAACTTCAGTTACAAGGCTGTAATGTGACCAGAGAAGGTCTGGAAACCATAGCAACCGCACAGTGCTTATCCCATGGTGATGTGGTGGTCACTGGTCTCCACTTTGTGAACAGTGATGGTGTACGAGAGCGGGATCTGCGGCAAAAGTTGCTCAAGTCCAGTGCCAATCTCTACATGGAATATATTGGTGATACTGGCGCACAGCAGATTGCTCCAGCTATTGGCTATAATGGCAGCGATCACTATATGTACTACATAGCCCATCAAACCATCCAGAAAGTCATCCCAGTCATGGCTGTCAACACAACTATGGAGATACTAGATCTCCGGTACTGCAACATAACCAACACTGGTGCAGAGATGCTTGCCGAGCAAGGTCTGGCACACAACAACACACTCCGAGTGGTCTACTTATCGTGCAACAACATTGGACTGCGTGGATTGTGCTCAGTACTCAGAGCATGTCGTCAACGCACTGCATCATCTCCACTGGCATTGGATATGTCAGATAACAACATCTTTCCTACATATCAACAACTGCCACCGCTCCAACAACCACAACAGCAGCAGCAAGTTGATGTTATCCGTCCAGTAACGAGTCTACTGTCACAGTTCAAAGGGATTGTTTATCTCGCACTTTCAGGCACAGGACTGGATGATGACACTGGAGCTGAGTTCATCACATCTCTACGCAGTAATCAGTCTATCAAGTTGCTCACACTTGGCCGTAATGCCTTGAGTGATCGCAGCGCTGGTGCACTGTGTGTTGCTATGGAGACCAACACCACACTGAAGACCATCTCACTGTACGAGAACAACGTGACCGATGATGAAGTGAAGCAGCTCATCAGCTCACCTGGTGTACAGCGTATGCATGCTGTAGCATTGGGTGACAATCCATGTCAGGCAGAGCAGCTCAGAATGCCGCTGTTTGATGGCGGGATCTCATATAGCCCAAGTAGTCTTCTGGAACTCATAAAGTGACCTAATTGGACAGCTGGAGCAATATGACAGTGAGTGTTTTCAGTCGCGTGATCAATATTCTGCTGGCCATAGACTCTTCCTGTTTGCTATTCTCATAATGACCATTTCATGGAGCAGCCTTGAAACTGTAAACAGCTGCTACACTTGAATAGACGGAATGCATGATAGTACCCGTAGTGTTTGAGTTACCTGAGAGAGACAACTACAGTTGAAATCTATACTTTTTCTCATATCAGCAATGTTTAGTGAGAGCTACCATAGTTGGTTTAGATCACTTGTCAGACATTTCTTCAGTACGATCTTCACAACACACACTTCATTCCCAAAACATGTAGAGATCACAGTGCAAGAAGCAACATATCCAACAGCATCATTGTTTTTCCCACCAGTAATTCTGTGTAGTCGTGTAATGGAACGTACACAGCAACTCCACTGTAACCATGGTGACAGCTATGTTACAGAATATCCACTCACAGAGCATGGATAGTGTTGTCCTTTTCTTACACCCTTCCTCCCCTTACATTTCCATCATTGAATTATGCTAGTTTTGGATGAATTCTCTAAAAGAAGATCATGCTTCTAGAGGTGATCTCCTAGTGTGTTGCAGTGCTGCATGGGAGGAGGTAGCTTGAGCAAAGGAAGGGAGGGGAGCTGAGGTGAGGGAGACGGGAAGGGTAGAGTGACAGAGAGGGGAGCGGAGGGGAATGATACGGGGACGGAAGGGAGACGGGTAGGGGAGCGGAGGGAGATGGGTAGGGGACCGGAGGGAGACGGGGTGCGGAGGGGAGGCAGAGCGGAAGGGAGTGAGACTAGGAGGGCAGGAAGAGCTTTGGAAGAAGAGCGGAGTGAAGGTTTCGGACTCGGCAGGCTTGTTACAGGCACCCGAGGTGTTCCGCAGGGTTCAGTCCTGGGTGCGCTGCTCTCCAGCCCTACACCAGAGACGTACAGACTAGCTGTTACCTCCCCGACTATGTCAATCCAGTTTGCAGACGATATAGCCTTGACTTTCAGACGCCGCAGTGCTGACCTCGTTTCATCTGAGCTCACAACAGCAGTAAGTATCCTAGCTCGCTGGCTAGCCTCCGGTGGTCTAATTCTAAACGCCACCACGAGTCAGCTGCTTGTCTTTGCAGGATCAGATGGGTTCTAATGGGAGGGGGCAATGGTAGACGATAACGTATAGTGGAAGCTTCACAAGGATGAATTATTGTACTTCAAAAAGAGCGTCCGGTTTTTTGATTTACACAATTGAGTGCAGTAACAGTTCAACTTCCCATCTGGCTCCTTCATTCAACTGGACATGACCATGTACAGTGTATTGATGCATGCCAAAAAAACCTCTTTTCGCACAGCTACATGAAGCTACATGTACACATACTCTGACCAAGGCACAGTTTGGCAAGAGAACATACATTGTACATCAGTACATGTACACATACTCTGACCAAGGCACAGTTTGGCAAGAGAACATACATTGTACATCAGTACATGTACACATACTCTGACCAAGGCACAGGTTGGCAAGAGAACATACATTATACATCAGTACATGTACACATACTCTGACCAAGGCACAGTTTGGCAAGAGAACATACATTATACATCAGTACATGTACACATACTCTGATCAAGGCACAGTTTGGCAAGAGAACATACATTGTACATCAGTACATGTACACATACTCTGATCAAGGCACAGTTTGGCAAGAGAACATACATTGTACATCAGTGCATGTACAGTAAAATAATTAAATTTTAGTATAATAGTAGATTGGATACACTGCGGAATACCATCTCCAAAGTACTAATTTTGCAGGACCCTGCATTACACTATACCAGGTCAATAATTTAACCTTGGATACATTGTACTTTGAATATAACAGAGGAGGAGGAACCGCAGCGGCACGTGTGAGAAAAGACGCACCGATAAAGATTTCATCTTGAGAATTTGTAAAGCAGTAAAACATGGGCTGTTTGGACCCATTCATAGACAAGTTGCTCGCTCACCACATTTGAGACTTAGAACGAAGCGATATCTCAAATTTGATGGAATTGTTGCCTGTCAAATGCGTGGGCGAGCCAGCCCAGCTGACTGGTTATGCATGAGCATGCATTGATTTTTCATAGGTCACGTGCGAAAACTAAGTTGCCGCGATCCAAGTGCAGCTAACCAGCAGCGCGTATCTCAAAAGGCAGTCTTTCCTGCCGAATTTATTTGATACTTCACTAACTCACGACTGTCACTCAAAGCAGACGAAAAGTCTATCGTACCTTCGACTCGGAAATACATCATGAAAGAAAGCCTGCAAGGAGGCACAAGTCGCCTGCTCAATACACGATATTTCGGGGAATACTTCAGTTGAGCTTTAGTAGGCTGAAAAAGATTATGCGTGAAGAGCACCACTTTTGCTCTCTACAATATAGGCCAACACATTACCAGGCATGCAACCTAGCTCACAGAGCTAGAGCCGATCAATAATTATTTGCAGCGCGACAACATCTCGGGAACATCAGATAACAGTGCGAGCTTTACCATGTTTACACCGTCAGTCTTTTCTAGCCACGATGCATACAATCATGCATGTCAGGCTCTGCGTCCTTGTCTGATGGGTAGATTCCCGTCAAACGCACAAATGACGTCGTATTCCATGCGTTGAGACAAAATCCCTCGCCATGCACAGGAGATACTGGATCACAGTGCTGAGAATCGACATCACGTGTCAAGCTGACACATGGTTGACAAGTCTAGGATCGAAGAGAGAATGCCATTGACATTGGCCTAATGCGAAGGGCCTCTCCACGCACGCGGTACAACAGTGCCAGTATGACCAGAACAAGGTCTTCATGGCTCAGTGTCTGTCTCTGTACTATCATGCCTGTCTCTTGTCCATTGGCATTGGCACATCGTGCGACACAGGTAAATCTACGCACAGAGGTGTCAGAAACCAGTAGGCAATGGATATGGCTGGCTACGGTTTTCGGCTTCGGTTTTCAAATGCGGCGATGGCCCAATGCACATAATCTGTCCAACCCCGAGCCGTGTGTGACAATCTAGAGTTGGCACCGTTGCCAGCGCCAAGTGAGCGCGTGCTTCTTTCCCGAGTGGGCATCATAACACGAATAGCCAACGGTAATTTTGGTCAATTTGAACTGGAAAGCTTTCCGAGCCAGATCGGCTTTCCTTGGCTCTGGTTTTCGTTTTGTAGCCTCCTTCAGGGAGCAGGAAGTCGACTCCCTGGTTGGGGGCATTAGAGTGAGGAGCACAACCCCAACTTGCCTGGAATAGTTCTGATCGAACTCCATGCCCTGTTGGGTATCGTTCGCATTCGGAAGAAAGAGACTATTGTGTTGAGTCTCTCACGATTCGCTTTCCTTCCACAAGAACCGTGCATTGGGCAGTACTAAGAGTTGCTCGCTGTCGTGTCAGTCAATTATTATTCGTGAATTTTCTCCGTTGACGAAGACCCTGACAAGAGGTGGACTAGGTTAGGCTCTTTACCGGCACCCTTTCCCACACGGGTGGTGCAATCGTTGCTCTTCAAACCAGTTGTCCGGCGCTCGACGTCCGATTGTTACTGGTGCATACCGCGTATCGCTGGCTTCGTGACCCGGCTTAGAGAACTCAGTGCCAGGAACAGGTATTTCGTTCGCTATTCGCCGTTTCGTAACATCGGAACAAGTTTAGTTCACTGGTCGAAGGTCGCCAGCTAAGCATCCCATACGTTTGGTGGTCGTTTCAATCATCTTCATACCAAGTCAGTTGTTTGCCTTGCGACCAGAGTGAAACGGAACGCAGCTTCGTTGGCTACTCATCCAGGTGAGACAACTCTTCGTCACGGCCCGGTCGTGGATTCAGCCCTCTATCTCGATCCGGAACAAGCGCAAGGGGTGAGGAGAGCACGTGAGAGCGACACTCACGTTGAGTGGTGTCTGGTGAGGACGCAAAGACATCACCCACACTCGCCACGCCACACCGCTCAGCAAGTACAGACCGGTGAGTCTTCAGAAAACAGATATGGGCCACAACCAGCTAAAACATGTCTTAGGGTGAAAAATTTCAAATTTTGTTTTCCTCCAGAAAACAGTTCTTGGGACCTTACTTGACCTCTTGAAGGTGATACAGGGCAGAAAAGTAGTCTACAAGTGCCCCAAACACCGCTTTCAAAATATGTACTTTGAAATAGAAAATGACAGTTTTCGCACAGTCTGACACAAAGAGACAAACTACTACTTAGTGGCTTTTGTGGCGGAGCACAATACAACGGAACTAAAGATGTTGACACCGACTTGAGCATGTCAACGACATCAGTTCAAAGGCATGGCCCAAGTTCTTCCTGGAAAGCAACACCATGCGCTGGGCGGCGTTGCACTTGCATACTCTTTCGATTCTGGCAGTGACGATCGTCGCCTGCGTTTCCGAGACTGCGTCAGACGCCTCATGAGAGCTGAACGCAAATAACGTCGTAAGGCAGCCGGTTCGCCGCCTAAATGATTATGTACTAGCCCACAACTTGTGCCTCTTCGCTACTGGAGACGACGGGGTCGATTCAGCTTCGCTGTCGACATAAACATCAATGAGATCCCAACAAATTGTCAGCGTCGCTCTGCAGACCCGCCGCCACGGACTTGCAGACACCTGAACAAACCTGGGCCATGCACAGCGATCGTCTGGCCGTGCGAGCTGCTCTAGTATCACTAGATGCGGACATTGTCAGTCTTTGCTCGCCAGCTACTTGAAGTTGAAGTAGAACGCCAAACAAGTGTTTGAACAAAATTTGAGAAGATGATCGCCACATCATGAATCATTTGAATGAAGTGCAGAGTGAACGTGCTCCAAAAAAACATTTTTTTTCATTTCGTCATTTCCCAACTTTTTTACGAAACCCCAAAGACATGTTTTAGCTGATCGCGGCCCATATACCGTAAAGTACCGTTGATCCGCCCCCTCTCTAATTCCCGCCCCCTGTCGATTTTCTGCCTCTGTACACGTCGCGTATACAACGAAATACGATGTTGAACCGACGCATGCACTGCTGTACACAATCTGTGCCAACCCAGGATGAACTTGAACGTGCACAATCCAGCACATCGAGTCTCATCCTCCAAGTTGTTGTTGTACATCGTACTGCACTTGACAGTATTGATCTAATTCTCGCCCCCTGCCGAAAATCCAGCTGGGAAGCGACTTGGCGTGGGGGGGGGGGGGGGTGGTGGGTGGTGGGTGGGTGGGGGGGGGGGGGGTGGAGGGGGGGGGGGCGGGCGGATCAATGGTACTTTACAGTAGTTGTCAATGGTTCTGCACTCCCAGTTCGGTATGCTTTTCTAGCTCTGTAACATAGCTGGAAACATTACTTTTTGTGCGTTACCATGACAATCATAATTGTGGTCCTTTGCGAGTCTGGCGACTAATGTGTTACTTGAAGGAGACGTGACCCAACGTGTTTGCTTCACTTGACATTAGGATACCTCGTTGTTGAGAATAGACCCAGCAATGGCAGTCGCTGGCTATGCCAGGTTGAACTGTTCACTGGTGTGTTGTCCTAAAAGGATAAAGTGATTGATCACACAGTGTGTTTCTTGTGGTCGG